CACAGAAACCCCCTTGACTCCTTGGGGTAAGCAGCTCACTGCTGGCTGTTCTGTGTGTGACCAGGGAGGGGGCTCGACCAGAGTGTGCACACCTATGAGGACTCTGCTTCCACCTCCACGTGCCATGGCCGCGGTCCCTCCCCTCCAAGCTCCTTCTGCCTGATGGGCAGCACCTGGGGCCCTTCCTGCTCTCCTTGTCAATTTATTTTCTGTGGTTTTCATCAGGTCTTGGAGGGAAGCTGGGTGGACCTGCTCGGGCGGCGCCTCGGGCCAGAACAGCTGTCAGTCACTTTCAAATACACGTTCTTTCCAGCCCTTCTGGCCGAAGGCTCTAAACACTGTTGCCCATCTCGCCCGAAAAGCTAAGCCTCTGTCCGACGCTTCGCAGTAGCTAGCAATGAGAAGCATAACCTTGGTTTGTATCCACAGTGTTTCCCCCTAACATGCGGCAGGTTGGAAGGCAGACGTATTTACTCCCTTATTCACCCCCTATTTGCTGGGCGCCCCGACATGGGCAGCCGAGGTCCCAGGCTGGGAGCTGGCCTCGCGCCCGGCGCTGAAACTCACCGCAGGCGCCGCCGCTGGGGGCTGGGAAGAAGCCGCGGGCCCAGGTGGCATCGGAAGCCACGGGAGGGGGCAGCCGGGCCAGGAGGAGCCTGGGGGGCCTTAGGGGATCACAAGGGTCGACCCCATCCGCACTAAAGGCGGGAGGTTGAGGAGGTCCCCGCGCGACCCCGCAGCTTTCAGCCGGTGGCGAGGCGGCGCAGGCCTGGGGAGGGGCCGCGGGGTGGGCTCCGGCCGCATGGGGCCGGCACTGGCGCCCTCTCCTCTCGGGACCTCGGGCCTCGTCCCAGGGCACGGGGGCGCACAGGTGGATGGACCCGGGTGGGGATGGGGGTATGGAGAGGGGGGACGCGGGGAGGCTGGAGCGTGGCCGGCGGCGCGGGGGGCGGCCGGGACCGGGCGAGGGGCCTTGTGAGGTGGGAGATAGAGGGGGCCGGTGATGGAGGATGGGAGGCGGCGGGGGGGGGCGCCGGGACGGAGCCTGCCTTTTCCCCTCCCACCAGCCTCCGCGACTGCCCGCCCCAATCCCAGGGCGTAGGCCTCGCGCAAAACCCAGGCGCCGCGGCTCCGCGCTCCGGCTGAGAGTCTGCGCCTCCGCCTGCTCCCTCCCGCTCGGCCGCGGCCCCTGGGGCGGATACTCCGGTGCGAGGTTCCGACCGAGGCCCGTGGCGGGTAAGGCCGGGAGAACGGGGCGGGTGCGGGGCCGGGGCGGGTGCGGGGCCGGGAGGAATCCAGCCGTCGCCCGAATCGCTGCGCCTGGAGGAGGCCCCGAGACTTGACCCCGTCCTGTCCCCCGCCAGCTGCTGAACCGGGCGGCCGGGGAAGGCGCCGAGCGCGGGGCGCGCGCGGAAGGGACCGTCCCCAGGGTACCGGCCTGCCGGGGCGGGGTCCGCACGGGGTCAGCAGCCGCGCGTCCTCCCCAGCCCCGGCAAGGCCCGCACCTGGCTCTGGACCCTAAGGTGGGCGCCAGGCCCAGGCACGGCCCGTCCCTGCTCCCCGCAACCGCGTCCTCCAAACACATCGCCCCTCCCCCCGTGCCACCCCCCACCCCAGCACCGCGCGCAGAACCCAGGAGCATGGCGCCCCCCCAAGCCTGTCCCCCCCAGGTATCCCCCCACAGGGCCTGGACGTCTCCCCAGGCCTAGACGCTCACCGCGGGCCGGGTGCTCTCCCACCCAGGTGCACAACCTTCAAGCGCAAAACCCTCCCGCCCCACCCTCCACTTCCCAGCGCCTCCACCAGGCTCAGTCCCTGATGCTAAAGGTTCAACCGCGCCCCCAGCCCCACCCCGGGCCTGAGCAGTCCTCCAAGATGCTGGGGTTCCCTGACCCCACAAAAGCCGAGGGTCCCTCCGCCCCAGGCCCTGGGCACCCGATCTTCGTGGACGCTGAGGGCCCTTCCCCGTCTTCTCGCAGGTTTTGCCCCACGAAGATGAACTGGGCGCCCGCGACGTGCTGGGCTCTGCTGCTGGCAGCCGCCTTCCTCTGCGACAGCGGCGCGGCCAAGGGCGGCCGCGGAGGAGCGCGAGGCAGCGCCCGGGGAGGACTCCGCGGGGGGGCGCGCGGGGCCTCGAGGGTGCGCGTGAGGCCGGCGCCGCGCTACGGTGCCCCGGGCTCCTCCCTGCGCGTGGCGGCGGCGGGGGCGGCGGCGGGGGCGGCGGCGGGAGCTGCCGCGGGCCTGGCAACTGGCTCGGGCTGGAGAAGGGCCGCGGGGCCCGGAGAGCGCGGCCTGGAGGACGACGAGGACGGGGTGCCCGGAGGCAACGGGACCGGCCCCGGAATCTACAGCTACCGGGCGTGGACTTCGGGCGCTGGGCCCACGCGCGATCCGAGCCTCTGTCTCGTGCTGGGCGGCGCCCTCCTGGGGCTGCTGCGGCTCTAGGCCAGGCTGGGCTCAGGGATCACATCTGGTCCCTGGCCCACGCCGTTCCCCAAGTCCTAAGGCCGGGGCTCCCCCTCCCTCCTTTGCCCACAGCCTTGAGCCCCAGTGGGGGCAGGAGCTGCAGGCTGTCCCTGTGGACCCGCCATCCACCGTCCTGCCTACGCCACCCCCATCTCCCACCTCCAGGGGACCATGCGTCCTGCCCCACCAGCTCTAATGTATTAGGGTCCCCCCAGCCAGAAAGGCAGCTGCCGGTGGCTCCTGTATCATCCGCCCAGCCATGCTCCAGAGCCGCCCAAAGGGAGGTGCCAGACCAGGCATCCAAGCCACCCCTGGTCCCCTCCCCTGCCCAGGGGCCCTGGTGACCCATGGCAGGGAGGTGACCTCAGGCTGGTTTTGCCACTGAGGGAGGCCCTGAGGACCATGGCCCTCCCCAAAAGCAGCAATGAAATGGACCAAAGGACTTAGGGATTTGGGGGGAAGTGAGGGGAACACGCTGGGTGCTAACCACCTGCCCACAAGACAAAACCCTGTGGCTCTCACAACCCAGAACACTCCCAAGCAGGAAACGTGTCCATCCCAGGAACGTCCATCCTGCTCCTCTCCCTCGTGGGAGGACATGCCCTGCCCCAGAGGGGCTGCCCAGGCCTTGTCCCCCACACCTCAGGCAGAGATCCCTGAGACCCACTTTGCTCCAGCAACTTTAAACAAGTCACTTTACTCTCTTCGGGACCCATTTTGGGGAAAAAATCCTGACACATTCCAGAGCTTTCCAATTCCTCTGAACTTCAGGTTCACCTTCAGGGATCACACAGTTCTGCCTGTACTCAGGGCACAGCAACTGCCAATCCCGCTGAAGAGCCCTCCCTGGGCACAGCTCAGGCTGCGCCGTTCCCGGATTTCCCTGCAGGCAGCCCCTTCCTTGGAAGCAGCTGGCAGCTGACGGTCTGCTCAGTGGAGCCAGAAGCCAACTACCACGGAGCGAGCAGAAGGCCAGCAGCGAGGCCCAGCGCCCCACAGGACACCCATGCAAGAGGCTGAGCCCCCAACGTCTCCAAGGGCTCTGGCCATCCAAGGACACGAGGGACACAGAGTGGCCTCCAGGAGGCACCGGGCATCCTGACAAGGACTTGCCTCCAGCACTGGACACCTCTGTGTGTAAGACCGGCCCCCTGCTTCCCAGTCCTGCCAGCCTGGGGCATCCTCCATGGGCTCAGCACTGAGGGGTCTCGGGTCTGCCACATTATCTAGCTCTCCAGCCACCCAACTCATCCAAGGTAGCATGGGTTCCCCGTGGCCCCCGTGGCCTTGGGATCTCACCCTCAGCATGCCCTGGTGAGAGCCTCACCCCAGCTGGCTGCAGCCTCCTGACCTAAGCCTCTGGCCTCAGTGGACACGGAAGTCGACACCAGCATCTCCCACGGGCCCTTCCGGCCTCTGCCTTCCCCAGCTGGCCTGGGTTCCAGCCAAGGTGAGGATCTGGAAGCTGCTGGCAGGACTCTGGACCAAGCACTGCTCTCCAACACAGGGGCACTAAGCCACACCTGCAGCCTCCCGTCCACACTGCTAGCAATGCCCCTGGCCCGATGCTCCTGCACCCTTCCAGATCAAGCTCAATGCACCAAGGCCGGCAGAGCCTCACAGGCAGGAGCCCTTCTACCATCTCCCCCAGTAGGCAGGGAGTGGTCTGAGTCCTCTCAAGGAAGGGAAACCCACCAGAGCCCCCTTGACTTTGCAGACACCCACTTGGAAAATGGGCTGTGCTGCACCAGATCCTCATACACCACAGCGCTGCAGGCTGATGGAACGTTCCAGATGTGGACACACCATGCTCTGCAGTGATCGTTTATTCAGCACATTAGCATCTGACACATCCACTCTCCTCAATACTTCCTGCCATGGGCGGTCAGGGTTACAGCAGCATGCAGGTGGCACTCGGGGGCTAACTTCAGGCTGCTGAGTGTGTGGGGCTGGGGCAGCAGAGGCGGCCAGCCAGCAAGGAGGGGCCGCTGAGCACCAGAGCCATGGTGGAGGCTGCTGTGGGAAGGTGAGGCCACCATTGCAAAGAGGCAGCCGGAGCTTCTGCACAGGATGTCCCTGACCCCAGGCCCCACCACACCAGCTCCACCCGCCTTCCTTCCTCTTCCCTCTTCCCCACCCTCCTCAGCCCCACTACTGCAGAATCCCACTACCCCATGGGCTAGAAGGTGCTCAGAGGCCAGGGGTCTCTGCTGCCCATGCCGGGCAACCTTCCAGTCTGTGCACAGCAAAGCCATGTACAGGGCGTCCCCCTGACCCCTGCCCTGGAACAAGACCCAGGGCACCGAGGGGCAAAGCCAGTGTCAGGCTCTGCTGTTGGGAGTCTGCTGCCCGTGTTCGTGTGCGCCTTTAAGTGTGAAATAAACCCCTCTGCTGGCAGCCAGCCTCTTCCTTATTGCAGGACTGCAGGACACCGGACTGAAAGACTCCAACACAAGCCCCAGTTGCCAACCTGCTCGTTTCTTAGGTTCCATTGGTGAGACCAACTTCCACACACAGCCCAAAGCACTATGGTACACCTCCCTGACCAGTAACAAACAGGCCCTTTAATTGGAGATTTTAAAGGTTACAGGTCATAACTTCCTGGGACGGAGGCACTGGGCAAGAAGCTCCGGGAGAACCAAGCATGTGGGGCTGCTCGAGAGCCGACTGGGAAGCCTGGTGTCCACTCCCACCCGCTCCACCCCTGGAACCAGGGCCCCTGGAGCTGACCAGGCCATGGGGGCGCCAGAGAGCACAGCACCCTAGTGGCCAGCGTGGAGCTTCTGGACCGGGGGAGCTGTCCTGAAACTCAACCACCCCGGTCAGGAGGCTGGGAGGCCACAGGCCTCCGGTGCCTTCCCCCTTGCAACAGGTTCAGGACACAGTCTCAGCCGGGGGGTGGCCCCGCAGGACATCGAGGTCCAGCATCACGGGGCCCAGCAGCCCGCGGCGGAAGGTGTGGAGGAAGTCACGGGCTGCCGCAGGATAGTCAGGCTGAATAACGTTCACGTCACCTAGGGGACAGGAGGGTTCAGTGAGGAAGGAGCCTTCACAGCAGGACGAGCCCAGCCCCCGCCCACCCAAGGGACCAGCCCTAAGAGACCCTGGGGTGGCATCAGGGAAGCCTGGGGAACAGGATCACACTCAGAAACAAAACGGCTTGAGCTGCACTGCCTGGAGCCTCCAAGGCCAGGCAAGCGAGGCCTGCACGTGACCTCCGAGCACTGCCCAGCATGGGGCAGGACCAGTCTCACCCCTGGAAGCCTGGACTACGAGCCCTTCCTCTCCACCACTTTCTGTAGCTCCCCTGCCCTGAAACCCATTCCCAGAAGAGCCACCCGCATACTCCTTGACACGTTCCTCTTCTCCCTGCCTCCTCCGGGACAGTCGGGTCCCCCTGGGTAAAGGGGTGAGGCTCCAGTGCCTGCATCAGCAGCCACACTCACCGGTGCCCGTGAGGATCTTCACCTTCTGCGTCTTCCCCAGCTTCACGGCCACGCTCTTCAGTATGCGCTCTATGTTGTCACAGGCACTGCCCAGGCCGTAGTGCTGCACGTACCTGCACACAAGCTGCAGGTCAGTGCCAAGGGGCCCAGCACCAACACTGCGCAGCCAGCCAGGCCGGACCCACCCGCCCTCCTGAATGCCACCAATGCCATGGTCAGGCACTTCCTGTGGATAACAGTGACTACGGCACTGTGGATGACCGAGATGAAACTAGGGGTGACGGGCTGGGCCCCAGGGGAGAGCCACTGTCTAAGAATCCTTGCGCTGTGTCCTGTGTGGCCATGGCCAGCAGCACAGAGGGCAGCTCCCACCACTGGAGCCCTTGCTGCAACGGAAACAGTAACAGCTGTTCACATGCACAGGCTTCAGCCTCCCTATTCAGAAGCGGGGAGAGGCAGGTCTCCGTGCAGGCCCAGCTCCTGGAAACCAAATGGGGAGCACAGAACACCTGCCAACACACCCCATTTGCTGCTAAGGATGGCACTCAGTAACTTCCAGGCAGCCAGTCCACCTGCATCCTTCCCACTTGGCCAGATGTCTGAGCGGTGTTTTCATAGCAGACGGACCAGCATGGGCTGAACTAGCCACCCACCACTGCTGAGCACCACCCGGTGATTCTCATGGACGCCCTGACTCCTCTCAGTGCAGGCTCTGGGCAGACAGGCCTGGAGGGAAAGGCCAACACAAAGCAGCAACTCACGGAGACAAACACTGCCCTGAGCCTCAGGAGCCTGACTAACCTAGACCCAACACGCTCCCAACCTTCCTGACCAGCAGGGGTGAGGGGAACCTGTCCTCGTGGCTCCCATGAGGACAGGCTCAGCCTTGAGGAGGCTGTTGCCCTCAGACCTGGTTACAGCATGACCTGGCAACACAGGACTCACCCCAAGGCCTAGCAAAACAAGACATGAACTCAGAGCCCATGAGAGCATGAGAACCCTGAGGGACGAAGGTGGGAGCCACCAAGTGTGAACTCTGAATCAGTAGCTTCAAGGGCCCTGGTTTCCGGAAAAGCAGTCCCAGGAGAGAGGAGCACGCCTGGAGAAGATGCCCCTGACCACACCCCAGACCTCCAATGGTAAGAACTCCCAAAAAGACAGGATTGTTTCCAAATAACCTAACTGTCCCAGAGCAAAGCTCAAAAATTTTACAGGAATATAGCTATCCACCACCTAACAAGGTGGAACTCAAAATATACAGCATCCGGCCAGCCACAGTGGCTCACACCTGTAATCCCAGCATTTTGGGAGGCCCAAGGCGGGTGGATCACTTAAGGTCAGGAGTTCGAGACCAGCCTATTCACCAACATGGAGAAACCCCATCTCTACTAAAAATACAAAAATTAGTTGGGTGTGGGCCAGGGGTGGTGGTTCACACCTGTAATTCCAGCACTTTGGGAGGCCAAGACAGGCGGATCACCTGAGGTCAGGAGTTTGAGACCAGCCTGACCGACACGGACAAACCCTGTCTCTACTAACAATACAAAATTAGCCGAACGTGGTAGCATATGCCTGTAATCCCAGCTACTCGGGAGGCTGAGGCAGAAGAATCACTGGAACCCAGGAGGCGGAGGCTGCGGTGAGCCAAGATCGCACTACTGCACTCCAGCCTGGCAGACAAAGGCGAAACTCTGTCTCAAAAAAAAAAAAAAAACGAATCCCAGCACTTTGGTAGGCTGAGGCGGGTGGATCATGAGGTCAAAAGTTCAAGACCAGCCCAGCCAAGATGGTGAAACCCCATCTCCACTAAAAAGTACAAAAATTAGCCAGGCATGGTGGCAGGCACCTATAATCCCAGCTACTCGGGAGGCTGAGGCAGAGAACTGCTTGAACCTGGGAGGTGGACATGGCAGTGAGCCGAGATCGAGCCACTGCACTCCAGCCTGGCTGGTAGAACACGACTCCATCTCAAAAAAAAAAAAAAAAATTAGCCGGGTGTGGTAGCACACACTTGTAATCTCAGCTACTTGGGAGACTGAGGCAGGAGAATCACTTGAACCCAGGAGGTGGAGGCTGCAGTAAGCTGAGAGTATGCCACTGCACTGCAGCCTGGGTGACAGAGATGCCATCTCAAAAAAAAGAAAAAACCAAACAAACAAATATATATATATATATATATGTATATGTATGTGTGTGTGTCTACATATGTGTGTCTATGTGTCTGTGTGTGTCTATGTATGTCTATGTGCCTATGTGTGCATGTGTCTGTATGTATGTCTATAGAAGTGCATGTATGTCTACATACATGTATGTCTATGTGTATGTCTATATGTATGTGTCTACATGTGTGCATGTGTGTATATGTCTATATGTGTGTGTATGTGTATATATGTATGTCTATATATGTCTATGTGTATGTGTGTGTGTACACGTGTGTCTGTGTATGTCTATATATATTTGTATGTATGTGTCTATATATGTATATGCATGTGTCTATATGTATATGTATGTGTGTCTATATATGTCTATATATGTGTGTCTGTGTATGTGTGTCTATGTGTTTAGGTGTATGTGTCTGTGTGTGTGTCTATATGTGTATGTGTGTCTATATATGTGTATCTGTCTATATGTGCATGTATGTATCTATATATGTGTATGTGTCTATATATGTGTATATGTGTGTCTAAACGTGTGTGTCTATATATGTGTATGTATGCATATATTTATGACATCCAAAAATTACCAGGCCTACAAAGCAAGAAAACAGACCCCTAATGAGAAGAAAAATCAGTCAACTGAAACTGACCCAATGTTATAATTAACAGACAAGACATTAAATCTAAGCTGAGACACGAAAGATATTTTTTAAATGATCCAAACTTAATGTGCAGAAGTGAGAACCATGAAAACTACTGCATGGGATGAATAGCAAATTGGACATTGCAGAAGAAAAGATGAGTGAACCTGAAGACACAGCAACAGAAATCGCAAAACAAGCACAAAGCTTTACTGAGCCACGGTGGGACCGAGCCAAGCAGCCTGTACCTGTGTGCCTGGGGTCCTGAGGAGCAGAGAGGGGCAGAAAAAACATCTGCAGAAATAAAGGTTCAAAATGGTCCAAATTTCATGAAAACTACAAAGCCCCAGATCCAAAAATCTCAATGAACTACAAACACAAGGAACATACAGAAAACCATTCCAAGGTCTGTCGTGATCAAGCTGCTCAAAAGCACTGAGAAGAAATACTAGAAGCTCATCAGACACCACGGGAGTGAGACAGGGCAAGAGACTCCCTCAAGCACTAAAAACCCTCCATCTGGAATTCCACACATAGAGAAAATATCTTTGAAAACAAAGGTGAAATAAACATGTCTTCAGGCAAACAAAAGCTGAAAGAATTCATCACCAACAGACCCGCCTTACAATAAATGAAAGAGTTCATCACCAGCAGGCCTGCCTTACAATAACTGTTAAAGGAAATCCTTCAGGAAGAGGTAGAATCACAGCAGAAGGAAACCTGGACCTACACAAAGGAATGAGAAGGTGTGGATGGTAAACTGATAGGAAAACATATAACTGTATGGATGAAAAAAAGTGTAACTGGGGTTATAAAATACGCAAAGGTAAAATACATCATCATGATGATGGCAGAAGGATCAGGATAAGAAAAATGGAAATACACTATTGTAAGGTCAACACTGAAAGACACACTGCAGACCCTAAAGCAGCCTCTCCCAAAAGTTGTAGACAATAAGCAAACAAAGGAGATATAGTAGAATCATTTTTAAATATTCAATCCTAAAGAGGCACGAGAGAGGAGAGGAAAAAAGAAAACAAAAACAGACAAATGGGCCAGGCTCGGTGGGGCTCACACTTGCAATCCAGCACTTTGGGAGGTTGAGGCGTGCAGATGACCTGAGGTCAGGAGTTCAAGATCAGCCTGGCCAACACGGTAAAACCCCATCTCTACTAAAAATACACACAAAAAAAGTAGCCAGGCACAGTGGCTCACACCTGTAATACCAGCACTTTGGTAGGCTGAGGTAGATGGATCACCTGAAGTCAGGAGTTCAAGACCAGCTTGGTCAACATGGTGAAATCCTGTCTGTATTAAAAATACAAAAGCAATTAGCCAAGCATGGTGGCATGTGCCTGTAATCCCAGCTACTCAGGAGGCTGAGGCAGGGGAATCACTTGAACCCAGAGGTGGAGGTTGCAGTGAGCCGAAATCGCACTATTGCACTCCAGCCTGGGTGACAAGAGCAAAACTCCATCTCAAAAAAAAAAATTTTGAGACAAATGAAAAACAAATAGCAAGGTAATAAAAAAAATAGCAAACCTTTTATTTATAGATTTATAAATTTAAACCTATAAATAATCTCATAAATGATTAAATGTAAATAGTCTAAATACCTAAAAGAGACTGTCAGACTGGATAAGAAGCAAAACTCAATGATATGCAGACTGTAAGAAACACATTTTAAGTATAAAGACACAAATACACTAAAAATAAAAAGACAGAAAAACATGTACCCTGTTACTGTTAATCAAAATAAGCTGGAGTAGGCTAGGCACCGTGGCTCATACCTATCATCCCTGCACTTTGGGAGGCCGCGGCAGGCAGATCACTTGCAGCCAGGAGTTCAAGACCAGCCTAGCCAAGGAGGGGAAACCCTATCTCTACTACAAATACAAAAATTAGCCAGGCATGACAGCGCATGCCTGTAATCCCAGCTACTCAGGAGGCTGAGGCACGAGAATCGCTTGAGCCCAGGAAGCAGAGATTACAGGGAGCTGAGATCGCACTATTGCACTCCAGCCTGGGCAACAGAGTGAGACTCCATCTCAAAAAAAGGCTAGAGTGGTTATATGAGTATCAGACAAGACAAATCTCAGAGCAGAGAATGTTCTGAAGGATAAAAAAAAAAAAGACCATTTCATAATGATAAAGGCATCAAATCATCAAGAGGACATAACAATCTCCTGAATGTTTCTGTACCTAACAGGATAGCTTCAAAACACATAAAGCCAAAACTGACTGAACAGCAAGGAGAAAGACAGAAATCCAGTTTTAGTGGGAAATTTCAATACCCCTCTCGCAATAACTGATAGT